ACATTTCACTTCTGCATCAATGGAACTGTGCACCTCCTCAGAGTCCAAAGGGCTCTAGCCTTGTTCAGATGTTCGCCTCTAGGCACGGCAGGACTGTGGTGCTGGTAGGTCCCATCTTCTGCACGCATCCAGTGCCCATGGACCGGCAGAATGATTGCCCACATAGGTACAAACTGTGAGATTGCACACTACAATGGCCATGGGTAGATTAGGTAAATCAAGTCTGTGCAAACAGACTTTTTGTACAAACATTTTACTGTACATGCAATTATTTGCTGTATGGAAGGGGTTGTCTGGCCTCACAATCCACCTTCCCCATACACACACTGAACATCTGCACAGGATTTCATCATTCAAGGGGAAATAGTCCAGAAGGCTAAAATTGTGTATCCAAGAACAAACAGTACAGATTGAGAGCGTTACGTGAAGAAGAACTCAAGAACTAAGCTGACTGCAATTACCCCCACTGAAATCCTGGTATTTTGGAAAGCAAACTTCTACAACTGGATAAGCAGCATCCTGCAACCTTTGCAAACATGGCAGTTTCTCAAAAGTGTGTTTACAGCCCTATTTTGCATAATTTACCCATGTGCTGGTTGAGGAAGGGTCAATGAAATCCCATTGAAGCTCTCAATGGCTTGGTCCTTTCATCCTATCTTGAGATGCATTAAGGGCTAGAAGCATGCTCTTCTAAATAATGAAAGCAGACATTCCCTGGACATCGCATTCTATGCTCAAACACCCAGTTTGGTGGGTGTTTTTGTTCTGTGCTTTTATTTTGTGAGGAAGCCTTCAGCCATGCAGAGAACCAGGAGAAGAAAAAACTCCTCCTAACAACTTCCTTCTGAGGAAGAAGAAGTGAGACAAATTGAGAAGTAATGCTTCATGTGCAGGGCGAGCTGCCGTGGCTAGCAGTGGATTTTAAAATGACCAGCCAGTAAAGGAACAGACTGCCGACACTTAATCAGAAGGGCAGCAAAACTGGCTTTTCATTTATGAAGGTTGTGGAGCTCAGGAAGCCCCTTTGCTCATCTGTGGTTTGAAACTTAAGGCCCCTTCCCCAGCAAATCAGGCTATTCAGGATGAACAATTTCGCACACAGAGAAAGGAATGCGAGAGAGGTAGTGGCAGCAGGGCCTCGCTTGCCAAAACCTACAAAAAAGGACTCATGACCCTGAACAAAGAGAACCTGTCTGTGCACTTCAGGGGTGGGAGGGTGGGGGAAAGAACCTGGTGCAGCACATCGTCTGTAATCCTGTGCAGAACTACTCCAGCCTTAAGCTCACTAAAAGCAGCAAGCTGACACCTGAGTAACTCTGAGCAACACTGCAGTGTAAGAGGCTGAGCTTGGACCACAAAGTCCCCTGTTCGAAATCTCATCAAACTTATGGGGAAGGGCTTCCCTAAAGGCCATCTTCTCTACAGGATAGAGATAATACTGATCTACCATAAAGGCATGTTGCAACGGTATACTTACAATAAGAAAATATCCTGTAAGTGCAAAGCATCAATACTAATGCCAAGCCTTGTCCCTTAAGCCACTAACAATTTCTGAACAACTGTCCAGAAGCAAAGCTTCTTTATAGAGGACTCCTGAGGCATGATGCGCCGGATGCTTTCCACAGGTGTAGGACAGCAACCATCTTTCCAGTTAAAACACTGAGCCAGGGTCTCGGGTAAGCAAAAATGAAAGCTGCAGGAGGCCTACCAGACAGAGAGCAGTTACGGCTTAGTGGCCTATCCTCAGAATCAGGACAAAAGCATATAGCGGCTTCATGGTCACTGACAGTAGGGGTAACGGCGTTAGTCCGCTGCAGCGAAATTCAACAGGAGTCCAATGGCACCTTAAAGATTAACAACATTTATTCCAAAATTTATGCTGGAATTAATTTTATTTAGGCTTTAAGGTGCCCCTGTTTAATAGCAATCTGAGCCACCATTAAGAATCCGGGGATTCTTTTTTGGTAAAAGAATGGAATCCGGGGATTCTTGAAGGGGGCATTAAGTTTTGTTAGAGCCCCCCCACCTCTCCCCTCAATCCCAGTTCCTAAAGAGGCAATGGCTGTAGCATAGATATACACAAGGGAGGCATATTTCTGCAGGATGCAAAAATGATCTCTCCCCCCCCCCCCATCTGCGCAGAAGTTGAGAAAAGAGTTTCATGCCTCCTTTTTCACTGATGAACCATGATGACTAAAAGCTCTCTCCAGTGCTACTGACAAAATCAACATTTTTAATGTTAAAATGCCTTGGGAAAAGTTTCAATACAATGCAAGCAAGCCTATTAGAGCTGCCATTTTAACAAGCATTTAGGCCAAGAGTTACCATCAGCACCCCCCATAGCACATTATCTTTCCCAGTTCCTCCCAAATGTGCTAGAAAGACATTTACTAGGACTAGATTTGCCAAATGCCCTTTGCTGATTTCACCTTAGATAAGCTACCTTACAGGGAAGGACCATGAAGAGAAGCATTCTCACACGAATTCTCAGCCAGCTACCGTGCACTTAAACACATGAGAGAACCTGTTTGCATCTGCGTTTTAATGCCATCCATGGCTTTCTGCCTGCATTGACGTTTTTTAGATCAGGAGGAAATCTGTTCAGTTTTCCTGAATCATCAAAGCTACCCGGCACATTTCGCCTTTTCAAACAGGTCAATCCATTAAGGCAGGAACCAATCTGTAGATTAGGTAAAACCTAAGGCTACCAGCCCAATAAAACAATCCTTAGCCAATCAAACTTCTGTTTTCACCAGTAATACTCAGATAAACGCACATAACACCATGACCTCAACACAGATGTCTTTAGTGACAATTTAATACATGAAAACAGCCATAAGAAAGAAAGGCCATCCTTAAGATTTTCTTTTCGGTTTTCACTTACCCTGGAAACAAAGCCCTCTCCAAAATCAGAGAGGGCCCCAACAATCTACTAAGGCCTGCATCACTATTGCAAAGCTGCCAACCAAACACCCTTAACCTTGGCAGACACCATGCAGTTATTTTTAAGAGTAAACAGCACAACACTTTAAAAGGGCAATTCAGACCTGAAGACCACACAAGTAGAACCTAGCCGGAGACTACAGGGTTCCACAACTCCAGCATCAAGGTGGACACCTGCAAAAGCACAAGTTCCCTCTGCTATCTCTGCCTTGCAACACCGAGAAGGCACATGGAAAGGCCCATTTCAAGGGGCCACAACTTGTAGTGCAGGAAGTGGCCTCTGAATCCTAACTATCCACTATTTAAAAAAGGAAAAGCGTGCAACTACAATTCTGTCTGTGCAGAAGCTAAATGAAGCTCCTTTGCACAGCATTTGGCAGAGCATCTTTAATGCCGCGGAAGCAACTCTGACTTCCTTTCCGGAAACGCTACACACCTAAAACAATGCAGCTAAATTGAGAGATGACAGGTTACAGATAATGGCTACCATTTATCCCAGTCTGGCAAAGAGTACCAGAAGGTCTTCAGGTTTCTTGCCACGCAATCATCAGCATTATTTCAGTTACCAGGACTTGGGAACACAAGGCAGGCTTCATTTTGACGCAATGCACACTGCCTGTTTAAAAACGGCTGTAGCAAATTAGCTCTCTCCTCCTTAGGTAGGCTTATAAATCCTATAAGCCCTCATCAGCAAGTCACACGGCTAACTGCAGCTTGTCTGAATTGCGTGGAATGCCTAACACACAACCAGCCGGAATCAGATCTCTCTCCAAGGAGTCTGCCTCTTCCCTGTGCAAATGCATGTCTCTACTGCTCCATGAGGCTTTGTAATATTAGGTGCTGAGACTGCTAGAAAAGATCTAGAGAACCCTGAAGGGGTTGCAACTGGAGCCAGTCGCAAGCCTTGGGAGCCCCAACTTTTGGCAAATGACTCACCTGCCCCAGCCACCCAGCATTACCTGTACAGCAATTCAGGATCACAACACTTTATACACTAAAGACGTGAGACTACTGGAACAGGACTAGCTTAATGTTCAGCGCCAGCAAGCTTCAGCACCGACTCATGGGAGCCAGGCAGTTCCAGCGACACCCCAACAAGAAGGGCAAAAGCTGACTACTCTGCTCGACAGAAAGATCGCAGCCCAGCATCATCCACACGTCAAAGAGAACAGTGCCAGGCAGGCCCTCGCCTGCCCCAAGGAGGAACGAGCTAACCTTTCTTAACCCTGACAACCACCGGGTGGCCAGGCCTGCGCTACCTGTGCGGCAGGTGCACTCACCACATCGACAACCCGCCTCGCCAGGAGCCGCCATCCCTGTCCTTGCCATACTTTCAGGATTATGACTAATGCTTGATTCACGATGATTTTTATCAGTGGTTTAGGAGGCCTGTTCCTGCAGAGCTGTGTCGAAACAGCTGGCGCATTAGGCCACGGGCAGAGCTCAAAGAGGAGTGCACTGGCAGGGACGCTTGTGACGGGCGTGGGGAACGTTGCAGGGATGAGGAGCAAGGGGTCCAGCCCCCATCCCGCAAGTCATCACAGCCCACTGGCAAGATAAGACTCCTCACCTAAAGACTTGTGTTGACACACTGACAAACCACACACACAAACACACACCCCACCACCACCACCACCACATACAAACACACCTACATAAACTCCCAGGGCTAGTGGCGCATCTATGCAAGTGCGTGCGTGGTAGCATGCAGATTCTGACACATGCCTCTCTCTCCGGACAGGCATCTGGGCTGCCTGCAAATCACACACATTTCCCCGCACATATCAGAGCTCCCGCCTAGCATCTCCGGGAGGCTTCCGTTCCGCCCCGAATTGGCGACTTTAAGGGACCCAAGACTCCCCCACCACCATGTACCTTCTGTTTTGTTGCAAGCCTGCACTCCAGAAGGCGCGCGTGTCAAACGTTCACACGTACGCTCGGTCTTTCCTCCGCGCTCAATCCGCAACTCGCCCCCTCCCCACCTCCGGGTTGCTATAGGAACCAGCGCCACAGCGCGCTCCCCGCCCCACCCGACAGAAGGGTCTCCCGGTCCTTACCCAGAGGGCAGCGCCGCGGCTCGGCATGTCCGTTCGTCCCTCCCTACCAGCAGTGCGCGTGCGCCAACTCTCCGCTCGCTCTCCGGCTGCGACTTCCCAGGTAAATGATGGCGGGCGCGCGCTGCAGGCTCTTTTCAAGGGTGGGCTGGTCCTGTGCAGGTGGGCGGAGCCCGGCCCCTTTCCGGGTCACGCCTCCCCGGCGAGTCTTAAAGGGGCGACGCCGCTAAAAGGGGGAGGGATCTGCTGAGCTAACTGTGGATTCCTATTCAGGGAGGCGGCTCCAGTGATTTAGACGGGAGGAACTCTGCGTAGATTGTAGCTGCAGCATGATCACGGGCACATCTTGGCGTCATCTCGAGTGGAGCCGGTTCTCTTCGCGCGTTCAGTGGCTGGTGCAGGAATCGGGTGTTGATGCGTGGACGTGTGAATCAGCAGCAAAACTTCGAGAGTATGGAGGACTTGAAATAATTGTTTAGGGCTCCCAACTCCCCCAACAACTTGGGGTCTGTTTCCTAGAATCCCCCCCCCCAAACTGTGAGATTGGCTGCAGATCTGGGTGCCTCTTTTTTTACAGAATGTTTAGCCACATGATTTGCATCATGGGATAAAAATAAGGAGGGGGGTGTTTGCATTCCCCAGGGTTGTGCTAAACCAGAAGCGTCTGATTCAGTCTCCACCCCCTTGGGGGAATCGGTATACAGCAAACCACATTGAAATGCTTGGAGCACGACTTGTACAGTGGAAAAGCCTATAAAGATTATCACCCAATGGCCTACCTCACAGAGCTGGTGTAAAGTTTACCCAGGAAAAATGCTTGTGTAATGGAATGAATTTCCTGGAAAAGAAATTCTAAGATCAAACCACCTTTGGTTTCAAACAAGAGTTAAGAAAAACTTACCAACCTGCTCCCATGTTTCCCAGACATACCCCCTAGCCTCTGCTTCCCTGCCAGATAAGCAATGAAGCCTTTCCAGTCAGAGGACAGCTTCAGCCCTAGTCTTTTCCCTCTGCAGTGGAAGAACAGGAAAGTTGGTGGTGGTGGTGGGGAATCAGTGGTGTCTCGGTCTTTAGTAAGATGGGTGTTTTCACATTGACTGTCCAGCAGAGGCCAGCCAAAGCAGAGTTACACTGTGGGTTCGTCCCACCTCTAGGTGGGGGCCTGGAATTCTCCCAGAGTTACAACTGATCTCCAGACCACAGAGATCTTCGGCCCAGTTTGGCCAGGGATTCTGGAAGTTTTTTTGGCATCTTCTGGGTATGGTGCAGCGGTCACTGGGAGTGTGTGTGTGTGGGGGGGGAGGTATTTGTGACTTTCCTGCATTGTGCAAAGGTTGGGACTAGATGATCCTGGAAGTCCCTTCCAACTCTATGATTCCATGATCAGTTCCCCTGGAGGAAATGGCAGCTTTGGAGGGTGGACTCTGTGGCATCACATCCCTGCTGAGACCCCTCCCCTCCCTAGACCCCACCCTCCCCAGGCTCCACCCCCAATCTCCAGGAATTTCCCTACCTAGAAGGGTGTAACTCTGCTTAGGAGTTACAAGCATAGGCCCAAGGGACCAACAACTACACTAAAATGGAAGAATACAGCAGCGTAAGGGAGCCACTGGCAAATGGCAGAGATGGGCACCTATGCTCCTGTGGCAATGCCAACAGACCCTGAAAGCGATGCCTTTGTTGCTCTGGCAGTGGACATGCTGCAGCTGTAAGCGTGTGTATGGGGGAGGGTTAGGATTGAATGCCCAGCTGTTTGAAGCCAAAAAGAGGACACTTACAGACTGTGAAGGAGACTGCAGGCCAGGGTAACATCCCCCCCCCTTCCCCTCCTGATTCCCTCTGCTGGGGCAAAGGAGGGTCACTGGGAAGGCAGGCTGGCTGCCACCCAGCAGGGTGCTGCTCTCACATGTGCCAAAAGGAAAACCAGGAAAGTCAGCCTTCCAACAAAATCAGGAATGCTGACTTGCTTTGCGACTGCTTGTCAATTCTAGGAAAAGCTGTAATGCATTCATTGAAAGCAGAGCAAGCCTGCCCTGCTGCAACAGCCGATGCTATGAATGTTTCCTCCACCTTGCAGGGTTTGGCCTCCTCCTTTCCGCTTGCTGACTCAGATGCCACTCAAGGATGCTGCAGACATCCTGGCCCAGGGCCTTTGCCTTCAGTCTTCTGGCCCCTTCTTCAAACCTCCCCCCCCTCCATCACCCTGCTCCCCCTGCTCCCATACAGCTGGCTGGACTCTTTCTGAACCAAACGCAGGCATCCAGGGAAAGCAGGGTGGTAGGGTGAACACACCACAACACTTTGGCCAGCCAACAGAAGAGGATTTCGGCTTTTGAGCAGGTCACTCTTCCTAGTCCATGTAACAGCTTTTATTTTTTTATTTATTTGATTTATTTATTTGATTTATATCTTGCCCTCCCCGCAAGCAGGCTCAGTTCTGGAGGCCTCACTTCAAAAAGAATGTGGACAGAATGGAGTGGTTGCAGAGGAGAGCTACGAGGATGATCAGGGGCCTGGAGACCAAGCCCTGTGAGGAAAGGCTGAGGGACTTGGGAATGTTCAATCTGGAAAAGAGGAGGTGTGGGGGAATGATTGCTCTCTTTAAAGTATTTGAAGGACCATCACTTAGAGGAGGCCAGGAAGCTGTTCCTGTTGGCAGCAGAGGAGAGGACTCGAAATAATGGGTTTAAATTAAGGAAAAACTTCTTTACAGTCAGAGTAGTTCAGCAGTGGAATGGGCTGCCTAGGGAGGTGGTGAGCTCCCCCTCATTGGCAGTCTTTAAGCAGTGTCTGGACAAACACTTGTCAGGGATGCTCTAGGCTGATCCTGCACTGAGCAGGGGGCTGGACTAGATGGCCTGTATAGCCCCTGCCAACTCTGTGATTCTATGATTCAACTCAATGATGCATTAGTATGCAAGCTTTTGAGCTCACCAGAGCTCTTCAATAGGCCAGATGTTACAAAACAAAAAGGAGGGGGGGGGAAACAGAGTTTACAGATCAGAATTTTAAGACTTCATCATGCAGCTTTTTTTCTTCCATCAATTTTTTAATTGTAGCATCTGGCCTGTTGAAGAGTTCTGGTGAGCTCAAAAGCACGCACACTGTTGTGTATCATTGGGCTGGTCTGAATAAAAGGTGTTGCACAGATTTTGGTCTTGGCTCTTTCTTTTGGACTGACATGGCTATAAACAACTGGGACACTCTTTTATAGCGGCACCCTAAACAGAGTTATACCCTTTTAAGTCCATTGACGTTGATGGAGGTGGAAGGGCACAATTCTGTTTAGGATTCCAATGTTTAGGATTTGCACATGCAGCAAAACATCCTTTGGCACTTCCCTTTGCTGTCACATACTTTGCTGAGGTAGGAGATTCAGGTAGAGTGTTTCACTGATCTCGCTGTGGTCACACACACTAAATAATCCACTTTCAATGCACCTTCCAACTGGATTTTGCCAGTTCACACAGTAAAATCCAGTTGGAAAGTGCACTGAAAGTGGATTATTTAGTGTGTGTGACCGCAGCTCTAGCCCCTGCCACCCACTTGTATTTCCTTTTTCTGCTGCCACTGGTCAAAGCTTTTCGTTAAACTGAGGATGCAAAGAATTCCAAAAGGTAAACTGTCCTAGTCTGCTTCAGCAAACATACGCAGGAGTCTTGTGGCACCTTAAAGATATAACAATATTTTATTCCAGAATATAAGCTTTTGTGGACGTGAGTCCACTACTTCAGATGCAATGAGTAGATCCTCGCAGCAGACATAGGAGGATGGGGTGGGTGGGAAACAGTTGCAGGATCAAGAGGCCACGAATTGCAAGACCCATAGGGGAAATGGGAAAATGACTTCCTATTTTGTTCCTGGTAGGTGTCAGAAATTGACAAGATACTGTAAATCGCTTTCATTAAAATAAATAATTATGATTTAACACTTCCCTTCCCTTTGGTGCTACCTAGCATGTATGAAGGCTGTTCTTTTTTTTATTATACTATCAATTTTCCTGAGGAAATTTCTCTCGAGTGAAATGATATGCAGATAACACTAGAGTCTGGATTCGAATGCGAAGAAATGCATGAAATACGAGTGAAGAAAATTGATCTCAATCTAGGTTGCTAACAAAACTGATTAAAAAGCAGCGGACCCACACAAACTTATCTCTTTCCTTGAACACACCGAAGGGGTCTTCTGCTGAATGAGACAGTTGATCTATCAAAGTCACTACTGTCTACTCTGATTTATGGCTGCTCTCTAGGGTCCCAGACAGGGGTCTTTAACATCACCAACTATATCAGATCCCTTTAATGGGGGATGGCAGGAATTGAACCTGGGACCTGCTGTATACGAAGCAGCTGCTCTACCACAGGGCCACAGCCCAATCCCTTTTTTTTCTTCCATTGGTACAAACACAATAATCATTTCCACAGCTATTCATTGTGATTGCGGTTGGAGTAATAGCAGACATTCAAGCAAGCCATCTAGTTAAACGGAGAAAGGTAAAATCCGTAGGGGAACAGCAGCGGTCTGTTCCGGTGCCCAGCAATCTCTCCTCTACGGGCAGCCTAACAAGATTTTCAAATCACATGGCTGTCAGCAGCATTCTTGATGCCATGTGATCCCCATTACCCCTTCCCTCTCCCCCAGGGAGCTGAGCTGGTTTCTCCTGAATTCTGAAGAAATACCTGAACTGCTAATAACCTTTCATCGAACACCAGCCGCCTTGGACAGTTGCTCCTTTCAGTGTTCAAGGGGGCCAAACAGGCCTTTGCCCCCCTGGCTCCTCACTCAGGAAAACATCATTAGAGAACCGGTGGTGGTGGTGGTGGTGTGTCACAGCTAGAGGGGTCAGGCTATATCCGAGTTTGTCCCCTCTCTGACATGAAGCTCTCTGTGTGACCTTGGGCCAATCACTCCCGCTCAGCCTAAACTGGGGAAGGGCGAATCGTTTATGCCACCCTGAGCTCCTTGGAGGAAGGGTGGAATGAAAATGCAGGAGATAGGTAGACCATATAATAATTATGAGCGACGTTAAT